TAGATGCACTGGCACCGATGAGGCTGCGTTGCTTCACCTATAAATCTTCAACAATGCAACGTGGCATTGCCATATGGCTTCAAAGGGCCACCATTCACCCGAATTAGTAGAAAAATTGATATCGAAAATAGCTGGCAAACATGACAGAGCTAACTACTGGGCAGCACTGTCTATTACGTTCAGTAACCTAATGTTTTTAAATACTGAAAAGCTTGAATTAGACATGACACCAGGAAAGAACACAGAAGCACAAGACACATGCTATTCGCAACTAAGCTTTATTTTGAAACATTTTATATGCACAGCTCTGTTAGCACCCACACTGCATGTTACGTTCTCACAACAACCTTCCAGATCCGAAGGTCATCGAGACGCATGCTAATGATGACTATCTGCGTAAGCGTTCTCTCTCTTTGCTGCACAGCGCAACGAACATGTCTCTGTTCCTGTTTCTCTCTTTCTTTTTAATATAACGAGCTTCCATGAGTTCTCTAAGCAAGTGCATTCTCCCTTCCGCCCAGATTGTGAATATTACTGGTCTCCTCTGACTCACAGGCACAAGTCGTGCAATGCATAGCTAAGTGAAAAGACAAGTCATTACGAGCAGATTGTTCGTGTTTTAGGGCTCAATTGTAGACTCGTCAACCAGTTTGCTCGATATCAACCTTTTTGCTAGGTAGTAGAATTTCGTTCACAAAACCTACGGCACATGTAACGTAGGATCGCACATGCCTTATGTCACTCGTGGGTTTCTTGGGTGGCACTGAAATTGATGGGCATAGCCCAGTCATTTCATGTGGCACTGAAAAAACTATGGGTACATTGTACCTATAGAAGAGAAGAGAACAGCACTTTGAGATAGGTAGCAATGCACTCGAAGTTGTAAAACAGCACGTCAGCTAGTAACCGCTGAACAGAGCCACTAGATTGAAGTAACTAGAGGAATAAGAATGGGGTGGAGCATATTCGGCAAGCAGAGGAAAGTATATAACAGCTGCACTTTACCAGACACTTTAAGTTCTTTTATGTATTTACCTACCTAGTAGAATCGAGCGATGGAAAGGAAATTGATTGGTGTAATCTTAAGAGACTTGAAGAGAGCAGAATGGATCAGGGAACAAACGGGGTTAAGGATATCATAGTTGAAGTCAAGCAGAAAAAAATGGATTTGGGCCGGGCATATAGCACATAGGCGCGATAACCACTGGTCATTAAGGGTAACTGACTGGAATCCCAGAGAAGGCAATCGGGTTAGAGGGCGACAGAAAGCTGGGTGGGTAGATGAGATTAGGAAGTCTGCGGGTATAAAGTGGCAGCAGCGAGCACAGGAACGGGTTGACAGTTGGAACATGGAAGAGACCTTTGTCCTGCAGTGGGCGTAGTCAGGCTGATCATGATGACATTGTACCTATTGGCCACATTTTTTAGACTGTGCAACGCTTAGTGCGCACAACGCACCACTTCTGACCTTGTAGCTGAAAATGCAGGGTCGAGCTTCATCTCCTTGCCCTTGAGTTTCTGAAGGAAAGTTTCAGGCGCAGCACTGAAGTCTAAATGGGGGAATCCAACCACCTGTAAGCGCCCAATCTGGCTATAAATAATTATAATACTGTAGCCATTGCAGTTTCGATCTGATTTCACGACCTGCGGGTCGTGGGATTGAAGCACCATAACCGCTAGACCATTATGGCGGTGTTCAGTCTGGCTACTAAGACTATCCTGAGCCAAGGAAAGGCGCTACTTTGCCAGCACTGTTTTAAGGCATTGTGATGCAATAGTTTGTTTGACTACACTGCCATGAGGAGAAAGCCTGTTTGAAAATGAATTCCATCCAGGCGAATACTGGTGCTGTTGGGGATATTTCAAACTTGTTTTGATGACGTGGAAAAGGCTTAGCCTTCACCAATGAATATCCAACAATGATGCCTTGTAATTTTGATGCGTGTAAGGTTAGGCAGCACTGAGGGGTGTTTGAATGACGTTGCCAGCAACAGCCTCAACAACTAGCATGCACTAATCTCAAAGCTCGTGCTTTTAGAACTGGGAATGCCAAGAGGTGAGAAACACAGCAAAAGCTGTCATTTTTATGCAGTTAACACTCATCATTTCAAACTTATTCCCAGCACCCGGTAAGCACACAGATTGCTTAGGGGCACCTAATTCCTCCGAACTATCATCGGAGTGAACTGAGTGTAAATCATCCCAAATTTGGGATGTAAAAAAGTGTGAAACCACTTTCAATCGAAACTAGGGGGTGCAGTCCACATTTCTCTTGTCATCAGCTCGATCCTTGAGGTAATGACAGAGAAGCAGGAAAGCCAAAGTGCCAGTTCCGTTCACGGTTCATACCGATGTGCATTTAACACTGAGTGTTACACAGTGCTGGTCGCAGGTGTTTACAAAAAAACTGGTTGTTTTTGCTTGGCACACACAAACTGCTTACACATCAACAGCACACGGTGGTTTCATACACAGTGTCTACAACAAACAGCAGTTTTGTACTTGCCTCAAGCCTGCAGAGTTACATGGACACTGTGGTCATGTCACTAACAATCATGGTTTTATTCGTTGATGATGCGACACCCAAAAGTTTTGTTTCAGCTATCTGTGCATAGGCTTCCTTAGATCGCATGAACATTTCCTATTATTGCATCATTAGGATGCATGATTTCTTTCACACGGCACTCAGTACTAGTTTCATTTTACCTAGGGACAGTGGGCATGCTATATCACAAAATTTGTGGAATTGTCTACAAATCACACTGAATTTTCAAGGCACTATGAAGATTCAACAAAATTTCATGGCTAGGAAGCAGCCGTTTGGTGAACCTTGGACCCGAGTCAATGGACGCAACCTTTTCTTTTTTTTTAATGTCATTCGTGTGGTCTTCTAGCCGTCATTTAAAATTTACACTCTGCCCGGTGCAAACAGTTGCAGTCTGTGCACAGAATTCTATAAACAATAGCTGGGAAGTTTTCTTTCTTGTGTAGGCCTTTCTTATGTGCAAGAAGGGTTTCAATTTACGAGCAGGGGCATGCACCACGTGTGGGCAGGTACTTCACTAATACCCCCCCGTAAAGGTTGGCTGCCTGAGCTTGGCGCTGCACTGTGCACTATGAGGTCTGGTTGCATGTGCATCACTTTGGGGAACTGAAAATGTATTAGTTTTGTTCATGTGGAACTTGTCCGAAAGTTTGCTGCGCATGTTATACTGGTCAGAGGCTGGGCCATCTTTGCTGGAGCAAATCCTCTGTGCTCTCTCTATCAGGGAGGCAGCTACTGAACACTTGTAGCAGGCTGGCTGGATTGACTCGTCAAGCTAGCATGGGCACCGGCAGGGGACTGCAAAGGGGGCACTCGCCCCCTTCAAGTCTCACCTAGCTTCGATGCAACACAGGTTTGCACACACATCCCCCCCCCCCCCCTCCCAAGAAAAAATCCCGCCGACGACCACGCATGAAAATGACGACTCGGTTGTTTCGCCTTCCAGAAAACACCGAAAGAAGGTCGCCTGTTTTCTTTCGTTTCTCTCTACAAGGACGCCCTGGAAAGGGAGACCTCCGTTTCAGCTGTGAACTGAATGGATGTCTCTGCGGTGTTCGAATGCACTGCTTTCAAACCTTCTCTTCTGATGACGAAGAAAACAGTTGTCAATATATCGCAGGAAAATCTTGGGCAATTGAAGAAAACCCATCTCCAGTGACTCTATAACAAGATCATAAATGCACAACATTTACAAGCGTGACTAATATTTAAGGATTTGTTTGGGTGCTCTCGATATAGTCCATTGATTGATTGATTTGTAGGATTTAACGTCCCAAAACCACCTTATGATTATGAGAGACGCCGTGGTGAAGGGTTCCAGAAATTTTGACCAGCTGGAGTTATTTAACATGCACCCAAATCTGAGTGCACGGGCCTACAACATTTCCTTTTCCATCGGAAATACAGCCGCCACAACCAGGATTTGATCCCACGACCTGTGGGTCAGCAGCCGAGTACCTTAGCCACTAGACCACTGTGGCAGGGCCTCGATATAGTCCAAACTAAGAGCATTTTCTTACAACGAATGGCCGGTAAGCAGACGTCTCGAAGTGGCGTATGAGTTGTTTTATTAGAGTCTTTTACTACAATCAACATGTCGGCTCTATTCTGTTTGACACTGTTTTGTTTCTGTGGGAAATAGGAAGTGTGCCAAGACACATCAGTGTTAGCAAACTTTTTGACTACGGCTGCACTTGCCATTTTTTCTCATTTTTTCTATTTGGTGGACAGCATCAGGAAAGTGTAGATGTGGTTTAGAGGGATGCATATGAAAAGCATAAAAAAAAATTGACATAATGCTTATAGTTTGTGAAAAATATGCTGTCACATTGGAAAATATTGCAGTAAACAAAAATGAGACACCTGTGCTGCCATGTGAAAAATATGCTGTCACATTGGAAAATATTGCAGTAAACAAAAATGAGACACTTGTGCTGCCACCTTCAAGTATTTATTATTAGAATGCTGGGAGGGTTTTCATGAATAAAATTTTGGGTTCTGTGCACTTTTGATATGCCCATATAACATAGTAAAAAAAATCAAATAAAGTAATGATATCTTCTAGACGTTCAATCTCTCAGGGGTTCACTCACTTGCTTCATCGTGCATTGCATCTCAGTGCTTATGGGCGTTTGAGTGTTGCAGGCTCAGATCTCAAGTGACGGAAACGGTGTGCTTTTTCATTCATTTCAGTTCCTTTCAATTGGGTCATTTTCTTTATACGGAACACAATTAATGTCTCCTGTTTTTTTCCTTGGCTGAATTTCTGTTGGTTTCATAACAAACAAACGAGCCCCTTGAAGTATGGGGTGACACTGGAAGTTTTGCTACCATGTCACTATAATAATACTAAATAACAAAAAATGAAAGCATCTCCGGGCAGTGTCTCATTTGGCGCTGTTTAAAGTGATGATTCCAGAGCAGTGCTGCCACACATCTCAAATTGTATGTGCAGGTATTCGGCCACCAAAGCAACGCTGGTGGCAATAGCGTGCACATTTTTTGACGCATTTAATGTGCCCGTCTTCTGGCCCATCCTCCTGCTCTACTTCATCACACTCTTCTGCCTCACCATGAAGCGCCAGATCAAGGTATGAAGCACCTCCTAACTATAGTAGTACAATCTCGATGATACAATTACGGTTGATGCAAATTTCGTAATGATACAAGTTTTAAGGTTCCTTCAGATGGACTACATTATATAAATACGCTGTGATTCGGCGTTATAAAAAAATGACTCCATATCCACGAAGTGAATGATGATGAGTGGGCGAAGCTCCGGAGGTAAACCTGGTAAACTATGAATCCTCCGTACGTTTTACCCACTCGATTTTATTACAACGCTGCCCCTAGCGTACGTGGCCGCCCTAAATCGAACTATTGCCTTCGACCAATGACGCGCGCCATATGTTACATCATTCCTATTTTATAGCATCTCGCATCTTTCATCATCAACTACAAGTACTGCCGTCTGGTTTACAACATCTTGCATCCTTTCGTCAGCCTTATCGATCCGGTGACTCCGAGCGCGCGCCAACAGCGGACGGATTTTATTACAACGCTCCCCCTAGCTTACGTCGCCGCACTAAATCGAACGATTGCCTTCAACCAATGACACGCGCCATATGTGACATCATTTCTATTTTATAAGATCTCGCGTCTTTCATCAACTACAAGTACCGCTTTCTAGTTTATAACATCTTGCATCTTTTCATGAGCTACAAGTACCACCATCTAGTAAACACTACAAGAACTAAACGAGAGGTGGCTACATACAGGAGACGGTGCCGCCATCTAGTGAACACTGCAAGAACTAAACTAGAGGTGGCTACATACAGGGGACGGTACCGCCATCTAGTGAACACTGCAAGAACTAGAGGTGGCTACATACAGGCTACAGGGGACGCACAGCCCACGCCCTAAGGAGCTTCGCCCCTAAAAACAGTTTCCCCAGCCACCATGGATGCAACACGCAATTGACCGCTGCACGCGAGCAACGTGACACGGCTTGCTTGTGGGAGGAAGGCCCGTCCACACTTGGCCTCAAACGGAGTGAACACGACAAAACTTACAGGAATTTCTCTCGCTTCACCGCATCAGTGGCCGGAAAACCACGCCGCAAGGCCGACAAGAAAAAAAACTGTCCGAAAACAATTTTCCCACCACAGGATAGAATATCGCCTTTTTGCTTCATGGCTTTGGATACACCAACTGCACTAGCTCTCAAACCATGGGACGTAAACTACCAGCCCCGTATTGAACATTGCGGCAAAGGCGTCGGCGGAATTGCGAACTACCCGGGCAGCATGACAAAGCTCAGTTTACACCTGCACTAACAATGTTTGTGCAGGTGTAAACTGTTTTTTTTTTTTTCAGTGTTTTGCATGTATACCTAAAACTTGATACAAAATTTAATGCTCAGGAAAGAGACGAATTGGAGTGAATTCTCAAGTGGTGAAGGGAGTGGCAAGTATGGGCGGGCCAGGACAAACATGAACATTTTGGACTAGACGCCGTGGACTAGACGCCGTGGCTGAATTAACCGAAATTCAGAATTAACGGGGGTTGAATTAGCGAGATTTTACTGTAACTAATATTTGGGACGCAAGTGAAGAAAGAGCCTCAGCAATTTGCGTCTGAATACACGGTGAAGTGAGTGGTCCAGTGCTTTGGGGGACTCGTCGATGGTGGCCACAAGAGAGAGCTGTCGAGCAACTTCCTCCCGAATGTACTGTTGAATTTGAGGTATCAATACGGTGTAGCCGGGGCGACTGCTTTTGCACCTTAAAGCCGAAATATTCGCTGCTTGCGCAGCTTATCAAAACTTTGACGGAGCTGAATCACGGCCGTGACTGTCTGTGGGTCTTTGGCCACAAGCATATAAAAATCGCTGTCATCTATGCTTTATTCTTATGGCCTCCGTCATGCTCGCATCCACTCGCTTACAGAGGCCAACCGCATCCTCAGTGTAGCTCGCGAAGCTCTCACTATTTCGCTGGAATCGTCCTCGCAGGTCAAGTTCAGTGCAAAGCTTGCACATAGCTGGACGACCAAAAAACGAGGTCATGGCCCCTTTGAAAACCGACGAGATTAGGATGTCAGCTTGGTGGTTGGTGAACCATAGGTTGGCCAAGTCTGTGAGGTAGAAGATAATGTTAGTCAACTACGTAGGGTCATCCCACTTGTTAATCGCCCTGGCATGCTCGTACTTTGCCAGCCAGTCCTCGACATCATCATCATCAGTGGCTTTGTAGACTCGTGGGTCACGCAGACGAAGTACACTAGGGCACATGACAGGCGGGGGTATGGAAGAAGCTTGTGAGGGATTGAGGCGCTCAGTCATTGCGAAATGAGATAGTAGCTTACGACTGCGGAGCTCCAGGACGTTACGCAGCACGTTTCGACCAAATGCAAGGAGCGAGTTCACATATAAACACTTGTTATTATTAATGAAGCGTTAGCCGCAGCAAGCTGGTTCCGGCAGGAACCCGGCAAGCACGAGGCACACGGACGTCAACATCTTTCACGCTGGTGCCACTATGCTCCAGTACAACACACACACACACAGTCGAGCCCACATATCACAGCCCCACTTAAAACGAACAATTTTCGCGTGACAGTGAAAATATACATTGGTTCAATGGCACAAAATCGCACTTACAACGAACATCACCGAGCGCCACTGGTCGGTTACAGCGAACGGAGTCAGTGGTCTGCCGACTTCTCAGGAAACTACTTTCAACCACCGATCAGGTATCGGCGAGGTGCCCATACATTCTTATTGTTAAACGCCAACCCTGCCTCCGCGACCCTCTAGTTGCCGCTCTCACATACCCATGGAGGAATGTAAGCTGTTTCATTCTTCCATGCCCCGACTGTTTTTTGTTACGCACCCCTCTGTCCTTTGTTGCCCCAACCCCCCCGCCACTCTGAGCACCCCACATCATCAGACAAAGCCCGTGTTTTCACACTGCCACCAATCTTTCGATGGCCGGTCAGCCATCTACCCTGTTTTTGATCGCTGGTACTGTCGTTGGCGTCGCCGGCCTAGAGTGACCAGACCATTTGCCAACATCGTCGACCACCGACTATATCCGATAGTCTGTGTCTAGTGCACGCACGTACGCTACCCCACCGACTCTGATAATTCCTGATTCGTTTCGTGTTTAGGACTTGTTCTCACTCACTTCGCACTTGGCTGAGCAGCCTTCCGCACGAGTGCAGAAGCGCGAAAATGGCTTTTAATTTGCCGGGAACGAATCGTGAAATATCGTAGTTTGTGGGGCCACACAAACCCCCCGGCGCAACAAAACAATTTTTTTTTACCACGGCAGCTGATTTTTCGAAAACCGCCGCGTGCACCGATCCAGGCGACCGCGCTTTGACTTCTGCGCGCGTAGGCACTCCTTCCAAGTTTTCTTACAAGTGAGTTTCGCAGACCTTTCAAGCAAGCTACCCAGTCTGCCTCCTTCCCGTGTGTTTTGGTTTTTAAGGTCGCCCTCTCACCGCATCCTTGCCCTTCTCTCAAATCTGCTCTCCTCTCTTGATCACAACCCCTTCGCCCACGGAGGAAAGAAATGCCTGCGCTTGTTTTCACCGCTCCGCGACGCCCGCCGCGCTGGCTGGAATTAGTTTCGTTTTCTGACTGGAAACAGGCCCAGAGCTGTTCGACGCGTTCTGGCATGTGTGTCGCATGTGCGTGTCTTGCTCGCTTCTGGTGTGCATGTGTGGTCATGATGGCCGACGGGAGGACTAGCATGCTTTTTTCTGTTGCTCAACAAAACATCGAAAGTGTGACCGCTTGGCCTGAGTGAAATCCACGCGTTAGGTGACGCGGTGCGGAGCGCTTGCTCATAGCTGATGACCACCTAGCAGCCAACTTGCCGCTTTGGGCGTCCCGGTGTTCAGCTGTGGAGATGGTCAATATTTCATGAGCGGCGGCGATGGCTACATGCGGACAAAACTATTTTCGTGAGGCCGATTTCGTTGGCGTCGGGCCCTATGCCGAGCCTGAAGCTTCCGAACAAGACTACTGCGGCAGCGATTTGTGGCATCGCGTCGTCGACTCCGACTTGGAAGAGTGGGTGGGACATCTGTTGCGATGGTTTAATTACGGCTGATGATGATGCCGACACTGCTGAACCATGCACGGATAGGGGCATTGTAAACGAAATACGTGGCGAGAGCAATTTGAAGAAATGGAATTGCGAGAACGACGAAACTTCGGAGCCAGTGGCTCATGCAGCTTATGCCACGGACCTCGGTGAATGAGCACCCTGCCGTTTTAAATTAACTCGAGATCGCCTTTATCGCTTCTGCTCTTCGAAACACGTGCATCACGGACTTTTTGAGGCAAGAAAAGTTTGTGTTTTCGCTCGCAACTTTTTTTAAAAGCTATGTTTCATTTACTACAACCTTCGGGATACAGCGAACGAATGCCACGTCACGCTCAGTTTCGTTATAAGTGGGCTCGACTATATATATATTGTAACGGGGTTTATTTGCAGAGCAGAACGCAGAAGGCAAAGCAGTCAGCAGCGTCCGGCCAAGCGCAGCAAGCACGAGCTTATGCTAATGGCGATGCCCCTGAGGCCCCTCTTCTTTACTACAATCGCCCTCCGCAGAAAAAGACGCCATCCTGGCGGATTAGGGAGAAGAAACGACTAATGGGTCATAATATGGCTTGAGGCCAGAGACGTGGACAGTGTCGCGACCGCGGTGGCGTAGGTCTGTGGATGGGATGATGGGCTCCACGATATAGTTGACTAGTGACGTTTGTTCTACAACGCGGAGCGGCCACGTGCAGTAGCAGGTGCCCGAAGCCATACCAATGAACCAGGCGGAAAGTTTGGAGCCGAACGGTCCCCAGTCAGGCAGGATCGCTGCTGGCACTGGTCCTCGGTAGAAAAAGAGCTGGCAAGCTGGCGGCATTCTTCAGCATGTCGAGCAGCTTCGGACAGAGTTGTACTTTCGGACTGATAAGGTTTATATGGGAGAATAGTGTCTACTGTATTTGAAGGTTCTCATCCGTACAGAAGAAAGTATGGCGAAAACCCAGTAGTAGCTTGTACGGCAGTATTATACGCATAGG